TGTGTGTGTGTGTGTGTGTGTGTGTGTGTGTAGTTTTATGTCCACGTTATTTACAAGTTGTCCCCCCCATTAAAATGTGAGTCTGTTGAGGGTAGGGACAGTGTAGTCACCTCTTCTGTATCCTCAGTCCTTAGCACATAAGTGCTTGAATAAATGTTGGACATTTCCACTTGGATGTCCCACAGACATTTCAAACTGAGCATGCCCAAAACATCTTTCTCCTCTATATCCTCATCTCCTCTTAACTTCCCTCTTTCGGTAAGGGCACCATTATTCTCCCAGATACCCAGATTTGAAACCTGGGAGTCGTTCTTTGACTTTTAACTTTCCCTCCTCGTCTTATTCTATCAGTGGTTGATTCTTACAACTTCTCCCTCCACAGGATTTCTCATATCTGTCTCCATCTCTTGACTCCCACAATAATCACCTGGTTCAAAACCTCATCACTGCTTCCCTAGATGATTGCAGCAGGCTCCTAACTGGCATCCCTGGATCCATGATCTCCTCTCTCCATCCTCCACCCAAGTGCCAAAGTGCCAAAGTGCCATCCCCAAAGCACAGTTCTGACCATGTCGTCCTCCCAGTTCCTGAAATTCCAGTGCCTTTCTATTGCCTCCAGGATAAAATGTAAACTCCTATATCCAGCATTTACAGCCCTTGACAATATGGTGCCACTGTATGTATTACACATTATTCTATTTCATACACTCTGTTACAACCAAACTAGTCTATTTACTGTTATCTGTACATCATATTGTATCTCCCACCTCTAGGCCTTTGAAGAGGCTGTCCCTCATGCTTAGGATGCCTCAGCTCTGCCTCTTAGGATCACTAGTTTCCTTCATGGATCAGCTCACATGCCATTTCCTATCTATACATGCACACATACATTTCCTATACATCCCGATCTCACCACCAGTGATTTATCCTGACCTCACCCCCAAATTCCTTTGGATTAATTTTGTATACATTTCATAATTACTTATCTGGTATATGTTGTCTCCCACACCATCCCCCTAAACATAAGTGACTTATTTTTGCTTCTGTATCTGTAGCACCTGATATATGTTTGGTACTTAACAATTGTTTGCTGAATGAATGAATGAATGAATGAATGAATGAATGAATGAATGAACGTTCCTGTGAGGTGGTCAGGGAAAATATAATCAATCAATCAGTAAGCATTTCTTAAGCACCTATTATATATCAAGCACTGAGCTAAGGGCTGGGCATACAAATACAAAACTAGCCCCATTTTACAGATTAGTAAATTGAGATTCAGAGAGATGATGAGGTTTGCCAAGGTACTGGGCTTCCCCTCCCCATCCCAGCAGGACACCGTATACAGACTCTAAACATGTATTTCCAAATAAGGAATTAGTAATGGATGTGAAGGTAATGACAATCCATGTTTAACAATAGAAAACACAAAACTGAGGGAGGGGAGCTTCCCTCATTGCCAACATGTTCAGCCCTTCCCCCAGCCCTCCCTGGTGCCCACCACCCACCTTGAAATTGGTGTAACATCAAATGTTGAAAATAGGACAAATTCAAACACAGAGTTTTTGCCTTTCTCCTGCCTGTCAGAAGAGACATGTGGCTGCTGGAGGCAATCTCTGAATCACAAGCCCATGGGCCTCTCTGATGGGCTGTGACCCAGATCTGACAAAATCATTTAAAGTGGGGAGCTCTGGAGAGCTCTCTGGAGAGCCGACAGCAGGCTTCCAACCCTTCCCTCAGCCTCCCTGACCACCCCGGTGCCCCAGTGTCCTGTCAGTTTCAGGTTTGAGAGATCTCCATCCTCCTTTGTGTTAGGAGCCAGGGATTGAAAGGACCAGTTCGTGCTGCCCAAGAATGCTTCTTTTCAGAACTAGGGCACAAATACCACTTTTTCCTCTTGCCCCAATGCTTTGAGTACTAAGAACACTGAGATTCCTCTGCCTCCCTCCCACCCCACCCCCACCTCCATCAAACATCATATAGCCAAACAAAAGACCAGGCTGTGGAAACCAGGAGAGGCATGGAAGAGTCATTTCCCCAACGAAGCCAGACTGAAAGGACTGGGGGTGAGGGT